CTGGGTGTTGAGAGTTGCTTCTGTTTGCAGCAGACCCAGGGGTGTAGGGATAACATATTAATGTATTAAAAATGTGATTCCCCCAAATGGAAGTGACTCCCCATAATTTGTTCCCCACAACTTAAAGTGTTTAGATTTATTATTAATTCTTCTTATTATTATTATTTGTTAAGATTGTTAAATGTTTAGATTTATTATTATTATTATTATTGCCCCTTTAGAATATAATGTATTAGGTCATGTAACTTAGAACTGTTAAGAATATAAGCCTGTGTAGCCAGAAATAGCCCCCCCTCTGTTCCCCAGGGCATGCTCAAGCTTGTGCAAGGGGCTGCTTGAAATTGACATTGCAGATACACATTGTAACAATGCATTGTCAAGCCACTAACTCTGCTATGGGAGCCAAGCCCTGTAATTGACTAAGGGCATTGTTACAATGTTTTAAAGAGAACAGGCGTCAATAAAGTAACTTTATTCAGCACTCAGAGAATGTTTTAAGCAATACCACCCAGAAACTTTTTGTAACTACAACTCTGATATATGTAAAGTTATTATTATACAAAAATATTGCATGGGAAACATTAATTAAGGAATGTATGTAAGAGAGAGAGTGCTTGGATGATGAGTGAATGGTTCTGAGAGGTGGCAGCCTGAGAATATAGCAACAAAGGGCTGAAGAAGGCGTCAGGTGCCAGTGCAACCAAAAGGTGGCAAGTGGAGAAAACCAAGTACTGGAGGTCCACCCGATAAGATCACTGACAGCCACCCTGGAGACAGCACCTGGCAGCCACCCTGGAGACATCAGCATGATGCAGCAATTTCCATAGACTGGCATAGGAAAAAATTCCTATAAGAACTGGACTAAAAAACTATGGAATCAGAGTCCAAGGTTCTGCTGCCAGCCTACCAGGAGCTTCAGATGCGCATCTGATCAGGACTTCGCTCCCCACTACCATCACTTGTGTACAGAGTACCTGGCCAGTATCCTGTCACAAGCAACTTCCAGGCTGGTAACTATACACAGAACCTGAATGAATGGATGTATGAATGAATGGTTTATATATATATATAAACAGCGTTGTTTGCTTCTATCTTTTCTTTATTTTTTTATTATTATCTTTACAATAAATGAGGCTTTTTGCCTTATCCCCCTCATAAGATCCTGCTTGCTTTTATTTGGTATAACAGGGGGAAGGAGGGACTGCAGACAGGGGCTGCTCTGTCTGGGCTGGAACAGCCCCGGCCTGTGGCAGAGAGCCACTCCAGCCTGGCCATGGTGGGAGGAAAGGAAATTCCAGCCCAACTGGGCTAGAGTGCCCTCCCATTTGATTAGCTGGTTAAACTTCACATTTAACCAGTTCACTAATTAAGCAGGATTTTACATGCCTAATCCATATTAGAGGGCAGGTTGGTATGCTTTTTTAATATGGTTCTCTTGAAATTTCTTAGTATCCACTAAGTAAGAGAAATAACTGCTATACTGTCCATTTTTAAGATCCTTTTAGTCTGGATGCTATGGTGAAGTATACATACCTCATTTGAGGAAGGAAACAAGAAGAGCCAGTTGACAGACAAGCCTCACCAACAAATACTGATTCTTTTCAACTGAGTGACTGGAGGTAGTAATGCCAAAAAAAAGTTGTGAGCTATCAGTTTCAATTGGTGGAACTAAGGGAACAGAGTAATCCCACACAACAAGGAATCTTTCACAGAAAGCCAATGGAGAGAAGGGTCATAGCAAGACTAGTTTGTCTTAAAGAGACAAGCAGTAACTTTAGCTGACTGTCAAAAGAGAAGATAATATCTAAAATTTACTAGAAGATTTACCCAGAATTGTTTGGGTCCTTAACTCAAATAAGTCTTGTTTTTCTTCATTTCAATCATTGTTCGAGGGTAGGGTTGGGATGAGGGATTCAGTATGCAGGCTACCAGAGGAAGAGAGGACAACCCTCGCCCTCTCTCCCTGCAGCAGCTTGGGGCTAGGTGAGAAGCACCTGTCCATGGCTGCTGCAGCAGGCACATCCAGGGCAGAGTATGAGATATATATTTCAGAGTTTGTCTGTGTAAGAGAGAGCTGTCCCTTTCTCCACCCTTGGCCCAATGGGGAGTATAGCTGTCCCAGTCCATCTCTGGCCCCTTGCTCCCCTGTGGTCATTCTACTGTATAACTCCCTCCTACCAGACCCCTCCCTATCCATTTTATGAGAAATAAATTCCATGCACATCCTATTGTCCTGGCACAGCCAAACACTTACTTTGCTTTAAGTTACAAGAGGAAGTTGCATACCAAACATGGTCCTACCTTTTACCGTTTGAGAGTCTGTTTGTTCAAGAATTCCTAAACAGACACGTATATTTCTAAAATATATAGTAAGATTTTACACACAAAGTATGTATTAACAGTCTGCTAGTGGACACTGCAGTGTCTTAATATTATCTTTAACATTATGACTATCACTCATCATTACAGAATGATTGAGTGAAAATAGTTGATGACCTATATAACTATTAATTGACAATAGCAAGTGGGGGCTTGTTTTAATTTTCAGAAAAAGACTTGCACAATGGTACTGTATACATACTGCTTCAAAAATATAACATTCCTCACACCTCACCATGATATGCTCTGCTAAATTACTTCCAGGTATAACCAGATGAACACATCTTTAAAAGGCAGAGTGGCTTGCACAAAAATTTGTCTTAATAGTTTTTAAAAACAACCAACCAACTTACTAACACACAGCCTGATTATTTTTCCTTCCCAGGTATTACCTTTTTTATTTAAGACTCAGTGAAAACAGAAATTGGCAAAGACGAGATTAAGTGAAAAAGTAGTTAAGGAGCAAAGGCATAGTTGGTTTCTCCTCTCTGGAAGGGGAGTCTCAGCTTCAGAATAGGGATGTGAAGGACTAGTCAACCAGTTGACCATCTGATAAGCAAATGCTTATTTATCAGAAAGAGGCAGCAAGGGAGCACGGGGGCGTGGGAGGGGTGGAGAAGAAAAGAGGTGGTACTTGGAAGCGGCAGCGCCACGTGGAGCCTGGTGCCAGACCCTGGGCTCCATGTGGTGCCGCTGCTTTGAAATGCCACAGCAAGAGCCCGGCATCTTCCTGGGCATCTCAAAGTGGCAGCATTGTGTGGAGCCCAGGGTCAGCAGGGAATCCCCCAGCTGACCCCAGGCTCAACATGGCACTTTCGCCTTTAAAGTGTAGCAACAGCCCTAGGGTTGTTTCTACAGTTCTAGAGCAGAAACACCCTATCAACTAGTCAAATAATTGATGCAAAAGGCATCAACTATTCGATTAGTCAGTTACCTGCAATTTAACATCCCTACTTCAGAATCGATAAAGCGCATCCAGTTATGTGATTAACTGACCATCTAAACTTGTGTCTCATACAGTGTTCATACATTCCATCTGAAATGTATTTATTTACTGCATTATTTCTCCTACACACTTGCCAATTTTAATTGTGCCTTAGATAATGTTACTACAGTTTGATTATCCATTGTACCAACACACATCAGTTTGGATGACTTGCTGTCACCTCTCGCTTGAAAAGAACACAACTGAGAAGCTTCTTAGTTAAATCCCTTCCAGAATGAGGCCTCAGATGGAAGGGATGGGGCAGAGACAGCCAGCCCTCATCGCTACCTGGAATGTGCCATTCCCTCCTCCCTATTTAGATCTGCCCAAAACATGCCATGAAGTGCTCTGGAGGCTATTTAAAGGGGAAGAATGGTTAAAATTTAATTCTTCTCTTTCTTTTTCAACTTCCACATAGGCATTAAATATGCACTGTTGCTTTTTAATCACAATTCTAAAAATTTGCTCTTTTCTTTCTATGCTGATTGATAAACCATTCTTCCATGTCTGAATTATCTCATCTTGAATACCTTAATCTCGCTCAGGACCCTTGGATGCTAACCTTACTCTCTACCGTCTATCCAAAATGTTGCTGTCGAAAGCTTCAGAGGGGTAGCTGAGTTAGACTGTAACTGAAAAAGCTTTTAAAAAAAAATAAAAATAAAAAATTGTTAACAGAACCGTTGCAATGTTTATATTCTTTAATAAGAAATGATGCAATCTTATTAGCATCACTCCTGCCTCTCAACGAACCTTTTCCTTTCTTTATGACCCTAACTGGCTGTGTCACGGCTGGACAAAAGCTATTTTCACAAAGTATGCACCCATATTTTAGATACTCATGGAAATACTACTAATAATAGTCAATAACATTATGAATGTAAATACTAACAGTCATCTAATCCAATTGAAAAAATTAAGGGCAGCCACTGTAATAAGCCACTACAACTTCACATTTGCAATATCGATACACAATTCAACTCTGTTATGAAGACAATAGACTCTGTTTCTTTAGTCACAGCTGTGACTTTAATCATGACATCCATTTTAGCCCCTCATCTGGCTCATGAAACCTCCCTGTACTGCCAGTCATTCTGTCAAGTATTGTTATTACGAATGCCAGTAATTACTTACTCAGTCACAATGTAGCTAGTTGTCAGAGATTGTTAAGCTAAGTATTCTAAAATCAAATGTGCCAGGGGGCTGATTCTCAGAAAGGGTTACAATGGAACTATAGATACTTTCATAATTTTTAATATGTAGTTACATGACTAACAAAAACAGGTATTTTATTATATTGAAAAAGAACCCTAAGAGGTCACCCATTGAATGACAAATAAAAATTATATATTCCACTTAAGACATTAAATGCTTGAGCCCTTGAGGGAAAACCCCCCCACAACTTGATTCATCATGTGGACTTTGTTATAGAGTCTGTTAAGAACCTCTTTTCAAGCTGAACTGGCTGACATCCAACCTGCTCTGTTCTTAATTCCTGACATGCTGTGATGAATCTCTTCACTCTTCAACTGTTTTCCAGACCACTTCATTTCTGTTGCAATCATAAGGGGGCAGGGGGGAGAGGGAAATTGATCTATAGAACAATTGTTTAGCTATGTGTTGATCAAATACTCACTGTTATATGATTGTAAATAAGCTGAGACCACCCAAAGAGATCCGCTAGTCTGTAGAATGCTGCTAATTTACATCGCAGTAACTTCTCCCCTTTTTCATAAGCAATGGAATCTGACCCTCTAAGGTCATTCACTGGTGTCACCATGCCAAGACCTGAAAAGGAGGAAGAAAAAGCACACAAATTATGTGCTCAATACCTCAGTTAATGTCCAACAACACTGTACCACATCTATGGAGGCTATTCCTATAATGCTACTGAGAGATGTCTGAACAACCAAAGAAGTTGATGGTAAATTTTGGTTGCCTAACATAGAACTGTAACCCTTCTATTTATACATCCTGTAAAAGCAAGGCATTAAATTATTTCCCTGACTCATTTCTGATAAAATCGGACAAGCACTAGTTCACTCCTGCGACGTTCAACAAAATGCAAAACCATCAACACTGTATCTTGTCTTGGTTTCAAATTAAAACCAAAATTCTTAGATATATGACAATTTCCTTTAAAATGAAAATCTAGGTTGACTTTGAAAAACAACACTACACATTTAATTGTATCAAAGAAAAGCAATTGTGTTGCAAGTCTTAAAGTTAGCAACTTCTGATCTACTGCAGATCTAATTAATACACAATCACATTTGTGTGCATTTTATTAGAAATAAGCTGGCAAATGTGAGGGGAAGAAGGTTTATAGGTAAAAGGTAAAGAATTATAGCGCTGACTATATTTCAAGTACAATCGTACTTGAGTTCCTTGATATGATTCTACTTGAAGTCTATTCAGATCTATAGATAGCTTTATCTCTTAGCCAAAGTACAGTCCTATTTTATAAAAGCACATGGGACCTTAAATGCTTCTCTGAACCATGCCAAAATCTTGCCTTTGGAAGCTGTGTCAAATATTTCCCAAATACATCTATTGTTTAAAGCAATGTTTCTCAAAGCTTCCTGCGGCTTTCCTTGACTTCAGTGACCCACAGCCAATGGGAACTATGAGGCACTGTAGCTGTAGAGCAGTTAGGTAAATAAACTGGAGTGGCCTGTTAGCAGCTTTCTCTAAGTGGACCAACAGCCCACTTCGAGAAAAACTGCTTTAAAGCATTCATAGATGTATAATGAAAATGTTCTAAATTTAAACAGGAAATACTGTTGGTTGAATAGTATAAAGCTTTTCCTTTTTGTAGTCCTGCTTAAGGAAGAAAACCAGAGACCTTCTGCAAAAATCAAAATGTGTAAGTTTCAAAAGGGGTATTCTTACAGCCTGGTGCAGATACAAATTAGGGATGTAAAATCTCATTTAATTGGTTAAACAATGGACAAGGGCTGCTCCAGCCAGCTAGCTGGCCAGAGAAGTCCCTGATTGTGGCATGCCACTCAATACAGACAGGGGCTGTGGTGGAGCCCTGGGCCATGCAGCACCCTGCCTGCAGCAGGCAGGGAACTGCTCCAGCCTCTACCAGTTATCTGGAGCCGGCAAACCTAACCCATTAAGAGTGAAGCTTACCAGTTAACCAGCTAACTATTCATATCCCTAATATAAATGTCACAGAATCATAGAATACCTGAACTGGAAGGGACCTTGAGAGATCAAGTCCAGTCCCTTGGCCTCATGGCAGGATCAAGCACCATTTAGATCATCCCTGATAGAGGTCTATCCAAACTGCTCTTTAATATCTCCAGTGATGGAGATTCCACCAACTCCATAGGCAATTTCAGTGTTTAGCCACCCTGACAGGTAGGAAGTTTTTTTACTGATGTCCAACCTAAACCTCCCTTGCTGCAATTTAATCCCATTGCTTGTTGTCCTATCAGAGGCCAACAAGAACAATTTTTCTCCTTCCTCCTTGTAACACCCTTTTAGATACTTAAAAAATGCTATTATGTTCCCTGTCAGTCTTCTCTTTTGTAAACTAAAGCCCAGTTCTTTCAGTCTTCCCTCACAGCTCATGTGTTTAAGCCTTTAATCATTTTTATTGCTCTTCTCTGGACCGTCTCAAGATCTTTCTTGAAATGTGGGGCCCATTGGGTTGCCAGATACTTTCCCCAAAAATCCCAAACATGGCAGGGAAAAAAAAAAATTGAGGGAAAAAAGTCACTGCGCCTTTAAATTCCCGCGCTCCCTGCTCCCCCACCTGACATGGCAGGGGAAAAATGTGCCCTCTGGCCTTCTGTCCGAGAAATACGTGTCTAGTATTTTCTGGGGTTTTTTTTACCCGACAGAAGGCGCAATTATCAGACTGTCCAGGCAAAAACCGGACACCTGGCAACCCTAGGTGCCCAGAACTGGACACAATAATCCAACTGAGATCTAATCAACACAGAGTAGAGAAGAAGAATGACTTCTCATGTCTTGCTCACAACTCTCCTGTTAATGCATCCCCTGAGTCATGTTTGCTTTTTTGGCTACAGTGTCACACTGCTGACTCACATTTAGCTTGTGGTCCACTAGGACTCCTAGATCGCTTTCTGCAGTACTCCTTCCTAGACAATCACTTCCTGCAGATGTGGATATACACTGGTATATCTCTCTACTCCCAAGAGACACTGCGACCAATGGAGAGCTTCCATGAGCCAGTATCCCACACTAGCAGCTCTGCCTGCACATGCAGCTGTACACTGTCGCCTGTCTGTGGTTGTCCAGCCCCACTGACAGTGGGGCTGTGGGTGGTACAGCCCCATAGCTGATAGGAGTTGCCAGTAGAAAGTGCTGGCTCCTGAGAGCGATTGGATCATGCTCCTCTTTTGTGGCCGCAGTATTTCTTGGGAGTAGACTCCTGAGGATCAGTGGATACTGATGTCTGCATTTGTATCTGTGCAGAGCTCTATATAAACTTTCTAGCCTCCTCTATCAGTTAGACTTCTGATAATGGGCATTTCATTTTTCTGTTTTTTCCACCATTAAACAACAATCACATTAAGATGTATTATAGATTTATTAGTGACAGCATATTTTTCAATTAATATGTCTAAAAGAGCTTTAATATAAATATACATAAATCAACATTCTTTATAGCATTCTTGAATTTGCTAGTTACTTTGATGGGTTGTTTCGATTTATTTATTTTTACAGCATTTCTGGTATTTCAACTTGTTCACAACATTATTCCTTTGTTTAAATTATTTTTAAGAAAGTTATGAAGTGCCCATTACAAATTGTGGTACATCTTTATCACAAATGACCCGTGTACTCACTCATATTTAATGCAGCCATTCCACCTTGTGGTGCCGCCGGATAGACATTTGGTATATTTGTGGTCATGAAATCTGCAATCTGTTGTAAAGCCAGCAACCCTGTTGGGTTCTTTCCTTTCTTAAATTGTTCCTGGATCATGGATTCCAATTCTTCACAAAAGGCCTAGCAACAAAATATTGCATATTGTTAAACATCACAAAGTTGCAGAACCCTAACCAACCAGATTGCTTCACACACTCCTTCCCTAGCATCTTCCCAGTATGATTCAAAGGGAAACACTGCGCACATAGCCTCATACCCCTGTCAGTTTGTGGAAGACTTATCTAGCCTGTTGCTGTCATTTAAAAATTTTGTTCTCCAAAGTTCCCAATCCCATGAGTTTCATCAGCCTTTACAACCTAACAACATCCCCATGCTCATGAAGAAGGATAATCCAATATGTAAGGCTGTTAAAAATGAAGTAGAGAGATAAGCCTTGCAGGGATGGGGAATGAACTAAAAACAGGGGTATATTAGCTAGTAGGATCAATTAGAACAGGATTGGCTGCATACCTGAAAGTCAACATCACAAAACATGCATACAAATTCTTTTGAGAAAAGACATTTCACAAAAAGTAAGTGTAGTAAGTTTAGCTATGGCTAGACAGCAGAAAGAAGAGAAAGCTCTCTAAGCAAAGAGCACATACGTAGTCAAGAACAAATATTTATGTACCATAATGAATTTAAACCAATCACTTTATCCTCCAGCTTCCCTTTTGGAAGACAAGCATATAAAAAAAAAATCTGACTAACTATTTCACAAAGTAATGACATATGAGGAAAAAGTTACATGAGAAAAATAGGTCTGCCGTGGCTAAACAATTAAGAGTTGAAGTAATTATAAATAATGGAATTTAGAACACTAAAAGCAAAGAGGCATTTAAAATAGAAAAAGGAAGTTCAAATAGGAGCAGAGATCTAATTAAGTAAAGGAAAAATTTGAGTTGAGTATCAGGAAAGCATCTTTCTGAAAAGCATGGAACCGTCTTCAAAATAAAATGATGAAACTCTAAATAGGAACCATGAAACTAGACTGGACATCACACCAGAAAATTATATTCTATTGACCACTCTTACACAGGCAAGGAGATCAAATAAATCTTAGGCTATATCTACACTACGAGTCCCTTGCCCACACATTCATATTCACATTAGCGCCTATCAAGCTAGCAGGAGTATAAATTGCAGGGTAGCCATGGTAGCAAGGGTAACAGCAATGAGGGCATAGCTATAGCTTTAAATATCTCTATCTTCTGTAATTCTATTGAACATGTTGTGTCACAAGTGCAAAGTAACCCAAATCAGAATATCTAACACCAAAAGAAAGTATGGTATTTCCCTTACTGGGCTTTGCAGAATCATGGAGACTCTTTTCTTTTGTTCCATCATGTTGAAATCTTGGCGCAAATCAGGAGCCATATTCCTCTCTCGCAAATACTCTGGGTTATTTTCATCAATTCGATCAAAATACCTTTCTTTGTGAGGAGCTGTTGTTGGGGGTGGTGAAGTCACCACTGTTGCACTGGAATCACCATTCATAGCAGAATTTTAAGTGTCCTATAAAAAATTGAATCAGGAAGAAATTTAAAACTTAGATTGATAATACACAAGTCAGCAACACAGATCTGTATTCAAACATGTTCTTGGTTTTAACAGCACAAAAACAAGAACTAAATTAGCTTGGCTTCCATACCATACAAGCCAGAGTTTCAGCAAGCCACATAGATTTTGTTAAACTTAAAAAAATGCATAAAAAGTAGTAAGTACTTAGGTGTATAATTTTGAAGCAGTAAGGTGGAAATTCAAACAAGACAGCTATTCAAATAGTATCTGCTACAATAAGCTCGCCATGTAATAGTATATCTTTAGTTATCTGTTCAGTTTTCAGATCTCCTAAAAAGAATATGAAGTTTTCTAATTTATAAAACAATTACACTCATATATGCAGCTATAGTGGTACAGAATGACATATAAGATCCAATATTCCCAACATTAACAATGAAATAGTAATCCCCATCTTATTGACTATTGCACTCCAAAATAGTGAATTGTATTATTAGCTATATTTGGAAAGCAATTTTTAAAAGATATTTAAATAATTATAATGGTTTATATTTAACATATTAAATGTAGTTAATAGCTAGATTACTTAGAGAAATTCCCCTATACTGCTGTCCCTGCAGGGCATTCTGGAATTGTTAAAATTTAAAATTATTTAAAAGGATTTATTTTAGCAGTCTATGCCAGCGGCGGGCTGCCTAGGCTAGTGAGTGGGCCACATGCGTGGCCTGTCTATGTCAGCGGGCCAAAAAATTGTTGTAATCATCACTAGGTTATTGTCGTAATCATCTAGGTTAGAGTAGTTCTGCTAACTGTGCTTGCAAAACCTAGAATTTGCAGGGCATGCTGTGTCAAACATAAGAACGATTTGTTTGGATGCAGAGGAAATGCACTGCTCTCTAAGTCAATGTTGTGTGCAACCAGCATGCACCTTAATTTCATTTGTCCTTGCTTTATGCATGTGTCACTTTAGTAATAGTGTTAAAAAAAAACTATGCAGACAGAAATCATTAGAATCTGGCAACACTACACATGGGCAATGGTAAACAAAATGTCTCGCAGGCCACATTAGGGATGCAAAATCTCATTTAAAAATTTAACAAGTTAAAAGTTTTATTTAACTGGGATCCCGGTTAAACTTATACACAAGTTTTATATTTTTGGAACTCAAAGCAGTATACAATATATCACGTTTGTAAATACTGCAGAGTTAACTCTTTTCTTATGATTTTCAATTCTGAAATGGATTTCAGAATAGAAAGCATGTCAAAAGGTATTTATATGAAAACAGAAGTACTTATGAAAAGCAAATACTATGTTATTCTAAATATGTTCTGATTAGAGCTCATCACTGCAGTATCAGAGTCCTTTTTTGGGAATTTGATACCAGAAAAAAAATTGAGACATTATAATATTGTGTATTATATGTGTCACAAAAGATGTTAAGAAAGATTGTGGGCTCTCACCTATTCTATTTATCATTCTTCTTTGGTATCATTTGACTACTTTGGTGTTGAAACAATAGTAAAGAATAAAATTGTCAGGCACGTAGAAGAACATAATTTGTTGGACAAAAGTCAACATGGTTTCTGTAAAGGGAAATCATGTCTTACTAATCTATTAGAGTTCTTTGAAGGGGTTAACAAACATGCAGAAAAGGGGGATCCAGTAGATATAGTGTACTTGGATTTTCAGAAAGCCTTTGACAAGTTCCCTCACCAAAGGCTCTTGTGTAAATTACATGGCCATGGGATAAGAGGGAAGGTCCTTTCATGGATTGAGAACTGTTTAAAGGCCGGAAACAAAGGGTAGGAATAAATGGTAAATTTTCAGATTGGAGAGGGGTAACTAGTGGTGTACCCCAAGGGTCAGTCCTGAGACCAATCCTTTTCAACTTATTCATAAATGATCTGGAGAAAGGGGTAAGCAGTGAGGTAGTAAAGTTTGCAGATGATACCAAACTGTTTAGGATAGTCAAGACAGAAGCAGACTGTGAGGGACTCCAAGAAGATCTCACCAAACTGAGTGATTGGGCAACAAAATGGCAAATGAAATTTAATGTGGATAAATGCAAAGTAATGCACATCGGGAAAAATAACCCCAACTATACGTACAGTATGATGGGGGCTAATTTGGCTACAACATACAGTATGATGGGGACTAATTTCAAATCAGGAAAGAGATCTTGGAGTTATCGTGGATAGTTCTCTGAAAACTTCCACACAGTGTGCAGCGGTGGTCAAAAAGGCAAATAGGATGCTAGGAATAATTAAGAAAGGGATAGAAAATAAGACCCAGAATATCTTACTGCCCCTGTATAAAACTATGGTACGCCCACATCTTGAATACTGTGTTCAGATGTGGTCTCCTCATCTCAAAAAAGATGTTTTGGCCTTGGAAAGGGTTCAGAAAAGGGCAACTAAAATGATTAGGGGTTTGAAACGGGTCCCATATGAAGAGAGGTTAAAGCGACTGGGGCTTTTCAGTTTAGAAAGGAGGAGACTTAGGGGGGATATAATAGAGTGTGTCTGTCTGCGATGCCGCCACGCAGCCTCTGTCTATGGCCATGGTCACCAACCAGTAGATCGCGATCTACCGGTAGATCTCAGGGGCTCCAAGAGTAGCTCTTGAGCCCTCTCTGAACTGCGCACCTGTGCAGTACATTTACATTAGATTTCCTCATGTAATGTAGGCAGGGCTTCAAGGAAGGGGTAGGGCAGTAGATCTTCACCTGTTCTGAGACTTAAAAAGTGGTCTTGGGTGTAAAAAGGTTGGAGACCACTGGTCTACGGGGAGTTTGGGCCCTCTGCAGATACAGGCTGCTGCCGCTTTCCTGAACTGCTGCCTCTATAAGAAGCAACAGTGCAGTGCAGCAGGCAGGAGATGGTCTGTGCGAGGAGCTGCTCTTGAAATAGGCTCCCTTTGGGGACTGGCTCCCGCCTGCCATCCTGCACTTCTGTCTCTGATATATAGGCAGCAGTGTGGGATGGTAGGGGGCCTCCCTGCAGTTGGGCTGGGAGCACACTGGCTGCCGACCCTGCCTCCAGACACCATTGAATAATCGTGTAACCACTAAGACTTGGTGTGGTTACACAATTATTAAAGTAAACATCTGACATCCCTAATGTGTGGGTACCAAGGTGATTTTTAACGAGGTGATGTTACCATCTGTCTGGAATGTGCTTTCAACCTATCTTCTTCTTAGACCCTTGTACTCCAAGTGGAGCATAGGTCATCTAAAAAAGTCTCTTCCACTTCACACTTGTCTTGAGACACAACTTCTAGCTGGCTCCAGGAGTACCCCAGTTGCTCTCCTTTACTCTCAGTAGATCTTCTCCATGTTGTCTGAGGTCTTCCTCTTTTGCATTTTCCTTGAGGGTTCCATGTGAGAGCTTGATGGACTATGCTGGATGATGGTTTTCTGAGACCGTGGCCTAGCCAACCTCACTTTCGTCTCTTGATTTGAACATCAAGTGGCTCTTGTCCTTCTCTGTTCCAAAGATCCTCATTTGTGACAGTCTTGCCATTTGATGTGAAGGATGTACCTCAGGCATCTGTTTATGAATGTCTGTAGCTTGTGATTTGAAGACTTTTTAGTATGCCACAGGTCTCGCATCCATGCAACAGCACGCTCTTCACATTTGTGTTGAAGATTCACAGTTTCATCTTCACAGTTATTATTTGTGAACTCCATATGGAACGAAGAGTCTTGAATGCAGATGCGGCGAGGAGTCCTGTGGCACCTTATAGACTAACTGAAGTGTAGGAGCATAAGCTTTCGTGGGCAAATACCCACTTCGTCAGATGCATGTAGTGGAAATTTCCAGAGGCAGGCATAAATATGCAGGCCAGGATCAGGCTGGAGATGACAAGGTGGATCCAATCAAAGAGGATGAGGCCCACTTCTAGTAGCTGATCTGGAGGTGTGAATTCGAAGAGAGGAGAAGCTGCTTTTGTAGTTAGCAAGCCATTCACAGTCTTTGTTTAATCCAGAGTTGATTGTGTCAAACTTGAAGATGAACTGTAGCTTAGCAGTTTCTCTTTGATGTCTGGTCCTGAAGTTTTTTTTGCTGCAGGATGGCTACCTTTAGATCTGCAATTGTGTGTCCAGGATGATTGAAGTGTTCCCCTACAGGTTTTTGTATGGAGTGGAAATCTATCTACCACATGAAGAGACTTGCACAAGTAACATACAAAAACCAGATCAGCTACTAGAAGTGGGCCTCATCCTCCTTGATTGGATCCACCTCATCATCTCCAGCCTGATCCTGGCCTGCATATTTATACCTGCCTCTGGAAGTTTCCACTACATGCATCTGACGAAGTGGGTCTTTGCCCACGAAAGCTTATGCTCCTACACTTCAGTTAGTCTATAAGGTGCCACAGGACTCCTCGCCGCTTTTGCAGATTCAGACTAACACAGCTACCCCTCTGATACTTGAATGCAGATGTTGCTTTCCCTATCCTAGCATTGATATCCTTTTCTGTTCCTCTGTCTTTGCCTATAATACTCCCCAGTAGATGAACTGTTCCGCATCTTCCAGATCATCCTCTCCCAGTGTGATGGTGGTGTTGTTGGACTGGTTGATCCTCAATGTCTTGGTCTTTCCCTTGTTAATGCTCAGTCCAATCATTTAGGCAGTTTTGTCTACTGTTGCGACCTTTTCAACCTATGGGCTTTCAGCCTATTCCCAGTATCAATTAGTGTTTTATACTATCAGCTCTATTTGTGCCAAGTTCTGTGAGCAGCCCCTGCTCACAGCTTAGCTTCGCTTTATATTAGCGAAGTCTTGACTATTGCTAGCTAGGCCCCAGATCTCATACCAAACCCGTGATAGATGGGCTTATATTTCATGCCTTTGTCTTTCTACAATGCCAAGATTTAATTTCTTAATGTGGTAGAAAAAAAATACTATGCGATTTCAGGGGCAGAACACATTTTTCCTGGAGGAAGCAGGTAAAGTACTTAGGTTTTCTTCAGGCTGATAGTGTTGAAG